TAATGAAATTAGTGTCCTAAATGTCAGCAAGAGCATTGCCTTAGGTAAAGGCTGTAAAGGAAATCATATTAGTGTGGAATTTCCTCTCCTCAGGGGCTCCTCTTATATTACATTATTCACTTAGCTATCTCCTGTCAGGAAGATGGAACTGTTGGCCATCATCTGATGCTGGGGCAGGACCAAGTGGAGAAGTTAAGAGGGTTCATGATGGCATCAATTCCAAAACCTTTGTGTAGTGCTGGTATTGTCTTGGTCCAATTCAGTGTTCACAAAACAGCACAAACTAGCCAACGGAACAGAGTGGAGAGGAACTCTGTAATGAAAAATTGAGTGACATTCCATCCAGTCGGCAAGTTTGCATTTCTCCTCTTTGGGACCTGCCCAAGAACATTGGCAAGTGTGATGGCTCTTCTGTGGCCCTGCATCCTGGTGGCTGCCACAGGTGAGTCCTGTTAATCTTTTTACGAGGCATCAAGTGGAAGCTAGAGACAATATATCAGTTGTTCACTTTTATTCATTGTCTGTGAAATGTGAATTCTGTGAAGCCACACAAAAATCAATGATTTGTTTCTGACTTTGTTCCTATAATTACAGATGTGTATAGTATCCCATGGTGAGGATTTTTGGGTACAGCTGAATTGGCTCTAAAATGTTGTAATTGTTTGATGACTCTGCTTCTCTAGAAATCATATTCTCTGCAGCAGTTTGCAAGATTTTGGGCATTCTTTTTCAGATTTGCTTTTATGTATAGCAAATATATTTTTATTATCCGAAATAGTCTTGGATTCATTATAAGCTTTTAGCAGCCTAGAGAAAGAGTTCTTTGAATTTCTCATGGATATAGACATGTGTATATATTTTGGTATTACGGAGTTTATACCCAGCCTTACAAAATCTATATGGGTGATAAGTGTATGTCTAAGGACAAGTACTAAAAACTTGCAGGTGTTGAGTTTACAACTCCTCTTTAAAATACCCTAGAAACTTTCTAAATTTCTGGAACTATTCTTCCATGGTGCTGTTATTAACTCTTCTTTGTTGAACTGTTTTATTTAGTAAATAATTTATTCTTTACAAATGTGGACACATCATGGCTTTGTAATTGTGCGGGTGTTTCCCAACGCCCTACTTTCTTGGGGGGTCTCCTAGATCTTTTGTCTGAATTCTCAAGTTTTAAAATGTGACTGGAAGTGAAATGACTCAGTTACAGAGATGAGTAAGGTAGCCAAGAAACTGAAAACATTTTTAAAAAAGAAACTGGAAATTATTTTACTTTTGGATATAGAAGAAAATATTATTATTTTCTTATACTCCTTATTATAAGTAGAAGAATCCTGGATGTTTACATTAAAGGATAAAAGGCATACCTTAATTAGAAAAATAAAATAGAGGAAATTTCATTAAATGCCAAATAAATTTCTTTTTTGTGTGTGAGGATTGAACTCAGGACCTTGCACTTGTAAGTCTGGTGCAGTGCCACTGAGCTAAATCCCACCCCCTCAAAATGAATTTCTTAGCAGAAAATAAGTGTCAACATTAAGCTAAGATAAAATAGAAAAATAAAGATAGAAAACAGAAGAAATTCTTCTTACTGATATATCTTTTCTAGTGTTTTTTATTTATGCTTGCTTTTTCCTCTAAACATATCATAGAAGGGTTTTAATCATGTCTAATAACAAGTACTTTACCATAAATCATACTGAGGACACTTGAGGCAAGGAAATCTGTCCTGGGTTACTATTGAGATGATTGGTAAATGTAAGAACATTGAGTCAATCACTAATACGTGGCTGCTGATTGTATACTGGGTTAGAAGAAGGTCTAGCTCCAGTTTCAGTGTCACTGGCCACCTGAGTAAGTCAATGAATATTTTCAGCTTTCAGTTTCCATATGATAGCTTATTTTTTGGATATTCACAAAGATCAAGTAAGACTGTGAAGTTTCAAGGTACAATGCAAATATGTTATTGACCTGAAACCACACATATAAAAAATAGCCCTGGCCCAAAAAAGAAAAAAAGGAAGGAAGTGGGGGATAACCTTGCTGTTTCTACCTAGTCACCTACAGTCAGCCTTCCTTTCTGAAGGTTTCCTCACTGCTGTTCCTAATAATCTCCAGAAGGCAGGTCAGTGCAGTGCCCTGCTGAAGAGCTTAGGCTTTGGATCCAGACTACCTGCACTTAAGTTTCAGCCCCTTTGTTTGCAAGCTGTGTGGCCTTGGTCAGTACTGACCTCACTAAGCCTGTGGGCCCTCACCTTCAGTAATTATACACTTCTGATAGGGCTGTAAAATACTAGCTAATAAGATTATTGTAACTGTTACCAGATCATTCATACAAAGGGGTTAGCCTTCTGCCAGCATACAGTATGCATTCAGGTAGTACTAGGGATTCAGTAGAACCATTCAGCTAAATTGCATATTTCCTTGTAACCTCTCAGATATATGTCTAACTCTCTTATAAAGATACATACGAAGCCAAGAATATCTCTTTTCATTAAAGCGCCCTAAACACTTTAAGATAAGTGTATGTGAGAGAGTAACTCATTAGAAGAAGGAAAACAAAGGAATAATTCTATTGTACTATTATGTTCTTTTTTACCTTTTATTTTTATTAGTACATTAGTACATGTGTGCAGTACAGAATAATCGCATGATTCATGGCGAGTTGATACATGTATGGAAGACATCTTAATTCCTTTTTCATCCCCTTCCCCTTGTATTCTTATCTTCTTCTGTTTAAATTTCTCTTCGTCTACAAGTGCTTCACAACTCAGTCCCTAATACATTCTACTTTCCAGAGATTGTACAAGTGAACTATTTGAAGCTGATTATTAGCATTCAGGAAGGCAGTGTTAGCCTGGGTCTGTTGATAGCTTCCATCAGTGTCTGTTGAAACATCATTGAACTGTGAGTCATTTAGTGCTTGTGTGAATGTCACATTAGCTTTCAAGGGGCATCATTTACTGTTAATTAATGGTCACTTAAATCCTTAATCTTTCTCCTATAATTGATCTTTCTCCTCAGGCAAATTTGCATTCATAGTAGAAATGTAATTTATTATTTCTTCCCATCTTAAACAAAGAACTCTTTCTCCTTTTGGTTTTAAGTACACTTCCATTTGCTTATAATTTTTCTCTTTTCATTACTTGTTTCTCTTTTGTTCCCGGTCCTAGCTTCCAGAACTTTCTCTTTTTACCTAAGGCTTTGATTCTAGAAAATATGTGTTTATCCACAGGAGACCTAGGGACCGATTCTTAGAAAAGGTAGCAGAGGGGAATTAGAATCTTTTTTGAGGCACCACACATTTATTTCTCAGAATTATGTTTAATGCTGCTTTGGATAGTTTCCTGTATTGAATCACGCACATTTCAGCATTTCCCCAACTGAGACTCGAATTGGGAGCTTCCAAGCGAGGTAAAAATGAGGCTGCCCAAAGCGAAATTTGTAGGAAGAACATTGGGCCAACTTTGCTTTATGTTCCTGACCCCCCCTCCCCCGCTTGGAGTGCTCCATTGAGAAATGGTCTCAGATGGAGAGATTCACAGCACACTTTTTGACAATAACAGTTCACAAAACCCCTAAAAATGATACCTGATGTGAGCCACTCACCTTAGTCCTGCACGCCTGAATACCTGATGCCATTTTAGGCATCTTCTTGGGTGAATAGTTAGGGAGTTACAATGCTCATTAGATTCTCAGTTCTAATGGTAATGAAAGTGGATATTCCACTGCCTGCAATGAGTCTGGGATTGCACCTCCAGCACTGTTGTTAGTATTTTGGTCACATTGACATTGATAAATCATAGAAATTGCTGCCTGTGGTGGCAAGTGACACGACATCATTCATAAAGAAATGGGCATAAACAGGATTGTCGCACAGGGAGAAGCGATCTCATTTACAGTTTCCTGCTGGACCCCTCATGCTTTCAGCAGCTCATCAAAATAACCATCAAAACCAGTGAGAGCCCAGGCAAATTCACAGGCGGACACTACAGATAGAGCTCATCACGCACCATGTCAGGAGGTGTGCAATTTGCTTCAGTCCAATGACTTAGCGAAGCTTTGAATCCCCTAAGGGCTGGCAAAGCTTGTGAACAAAATATCTTTTTGCAATTCAGAGAGAGCCCTCACAAATTTGTCACTTCCAATTGTTGGTGCTCATTTCTCTTGCCTTTTGTCCCCTGGCCTCCTGTGCCTTAGCACCAATCACTGCTCCTCTACAAATCAAGATTCCTGGGTCAGAGGAAATAGTTGTTCCCTGGAACTGGATAGAATTTTCCCAAAATAAAGATCTCATTTTCTGACAAGTGAATTTTACTTAAAGGTAGACAGTGTGAGAAAAGAGACTTTTGAGAAGAAAAGTATGTATTGGAATTCATTAATTTTATTTTTTTTCCTTTTTTTTTTTTTTTTGAGACAGGGTCTCACTATGTAGTTGAGACTGACCTGGAATTCACTATGTAGCCCAGGCTGGTCTCGAACTCACAGCAATCCTCCTGCCTCAGCCTCCCAAGTGCTGGAATTATAGGCATGAGCCACAACGCCTGGCTTCATTAATTTTATTATTTAGAAATGCATGCAGATTTCTTTGGGTTCAGTAGTTTGCCCATTACAAATAGAAAAGTTAAAAGGAAAAATAAAGTGGGAATTAAGATTTGGCTAAGTGTACAGGTGGGTTTCTTCCCTGTGCCAGGAGGAGGGTAATACAGGAATAATGAAAGAATTCTGTTCCCAAGATGCATGATTGCTGTTAGATGGAATTGTAGGTGTAGTATGCACTTTTGGAGATGGGTTGATTTACCTGTCTTTACAATGAGATTTCCATATTGGACACTTAGGCCACTCACTTACTTTAAATAAGTGTCTGCCAAAGAGCCCAGTAGCTAGCTGTGAATGTGTGCAGACTATATTCTGTGAAGTGCTAGCACATTCTGAACTATCTAAAATCTCCTAAAGATGCTTTATATTTTCATCTTCACAGTGAAAGTTTTCTTTTCCAGGAATTCTAGCCACAGATATGCCTCATCCCAGGAATTCTGCCCTGCGTCACCTCACCAAGCAGTTATTACAGCAATATCACAAGGAAGTGAGACCAGTTCACAACTGGGGTGAGCCCACCACAGTCTACCTGGACTTGTTTGTCCATGCTGTGCTGGATGTGGTAAGGACCGCCTTGTCCTTTCTTATTCTTATTCCCCTTGGTTAAAGCTACCTGCAGTTTATGCAGAAACCTGGAAGAGATTTTATTCTTAAGACTAGTTGAACTTCTGGAGAAGTCGTGCTAGATTCATTTTAGCAGTTGGCATGGGGTAAAATATTTATTTGGCAAATCATGCTTTCTTGCCTCCTACTTACAGGGATAAGACATAGTATAGAAATATCATGTAATTAAGATGTTTTAGGAATCGTGGTTATAGATCATAGTACATATTTTATGAATATTGCTGAAATCCAGGATGGTAGTAGGTGTGTTTTCCTGTGTCACATTTATTAGTGGAAATAGTAGATATAAGAAAAGATCTCTTGTTTATTGCCTGAAATTTGAAAGAGAAAAATGCCCTAGTACCATGAGTTTATAAAAGGGCTTTTATGTCTAAAGTGTTTGCCAAGAATGGCAGGGAGTACTTGTTTATTAAAGCAGCCCTTTCTGTTATTTCTGAAAGATAGGTCATAGGAAGAAAATGAGAAAACTTCTGTAAAGCTGTTAGCAGAGTTATTAGTAAGCCTTCTATAAATGATAGCCTTGAAGATTATTATTGCCTTTTCCTTCTTCTTCCTCCTGTTTCCTAATTACAAATTTTCAATATCAGTAGATCCCAGATTTGTCTTGATTTCTGTTAAAAACAGACTTTGAATTTTGTTAAAGTAGTTTAATAATTGTTTTACAATTTAATTCACAAAACTTTCTTTTTCTGTGTTGGGAATTGAACCAAGAACTTCTCATATGGTTAGCAGATATTCTATGACTGAGCTACAGCCCCATTTCATTTTTTGAAATTAAGATATATATATGTATATATATATGTATATATATACATATATATATGCATTGAAGTATAGAGGTTTTAAGAATACAGTTTGATCAATGATTTTGATCATTGCACACCTTTATAATTTGTGCTTCTGTCAAGGTATTAAAGATTTCCATCATTTCCAGAAAGACCCCTTATTCCATTCCTAGTCTGTTCTCATCCCCTCCATCCATAGACAAATACAATTCTGATTTCATCCATCAGTGATTAGTTTTTTTAAGTTCTAAAGCTTCATATGAGATGTGTTTGGGTTTAAGTTTTTCCTTGTCTTGACTTTTTTTGGGGGTGGGTGTGCTTTACTAGGGACCAAACCTAGGGCCCCTTTTATGATAGATAAGCACTGTACCATTGAGCTACATTTCTAGCCCAGTAATTTGTGTTAGTGAAAGGCATTTGACTATTTCATTGAAGTTGCCAAATTTATTGTCTTCAAATTGTTCATAGTTTCCCTTTTTATTAATTCAATATCTATAGTATTTCTAGTGATATATATGGCCACCTTTATGCTTCACATTGTTTTTGTTTTGTTTTTATTTGTTTATTTGTGGTAGTGTGGATTGAACATCACACTGAGCTACAATTCCAGCCCTGGGTTTTTTTTGTTTGTTTGTTTTTTGTTTTTGTTTTTGTTTTTTCCGGTACCAGGGATCGAACTCTGGTCCTTGCACTTGCGAGGCAGGCCACCGAACTGCTGAGCTAAATCACCGGCTCCAGCCCTGTTTTGAGGCAGGATTTCTTGCTAAATTACCCAGGTTGAGCTCAAACCTGCTGTACTGCCTCAGCCTCCCAGAGTGCTGGGATTACAGGAGTGCATCACCATGTCTGACTTATGCCTCATGTTGGTAATTTTTTGTTTCTCATATTTTTTCCTTGACCAATGTTGCCAAGCATTTAGCAATTTTATTTGCTTTTTCAAAGAGTCAAATCTGGGCTTTGTAATTTTCTATATTATTTGTTTTCTCTTTCACTGATATCTGCTTCTATTTTTATTATTTCTTTTACTTACTTTGTGTTTAATTTGGCTTCACCTCCCCTTTTTATTCCTTCCTTTTTCTTTTTTTTTTTCTTGTTTGTTATTTTCTTTGTTTGTTTTTTGGTGCTGGGGATCAAACTCAGGAACTTGTGTTTGCCAGGCAGGTGTGACCACATCCCAGCCCTTTTGTTTGTTTCTTTAAGAAAATGGACTCCATATATAGTTCAGGCTTGCCTTGAATTCATGTAGCACAAGTTAGCCTCCAACTCAGCCATCCTCCTGCCTCAGAGTGCTGGGAATCCAGGCATGCACCTGGCTGTCTCTCTCTTTTTTTTTCCCCCAAATTAATTTCTTAATGTAGACACGTAATTTTAAAACTTTTTCTGTTCTAATATAAGCATTTACTGCCCCATTAACACAATTTTAGTTGTATCCTACAGATTTTGATGCATTTAAAACATTGAAGTATAAATTGCATAGAATGAAATTCATCTTTATTTATTTATTTATTTATTTATTTATTTATTTATTTATTTATTTATTTATTTTGGTACCAAGGATCAAACTCGGGTCCTTGCACTTGCAAGGCAGGCATCGAAACCACTGAGCTAAATCACCAGCCCTGAAATTCATATTTTAAAGCCATTTATTTCTCTCTAACTATAGTCCCTGGCACCTACTGACCTGATTTTCACCTATCGCTTTGACTTCCCCTGAATGTCATATAAATGTAGTTTTACAGTATTTTCCCTTCTGCATCTGACTCCTTTCACTTAGCATAATGCCTTTCAGATTCATCCATGTTGTTGCATATTTCAGTAGTAGGAGTCCACTGTTCATGTGTACTACATTTTCTTTGTCTGTTTACCAGTTGTTGGACATGAGAATTGTTCCCATTTGGGGGCAATTATTAATAAAGCCATATTAAACATTTACATACATTTTTATTTCTTTTGGATACTTAGATGTGGTATTGCTGAATTATGTGATAAATTTGTGTATAATTTTATAAGAAACCATCAAGCTGTTTTTCTGAAGTGGCTGTTGTCATTTTTCATTCCATTTAAAATGGATGAATTGCTGGGGATTTAGCTCAGTGGTTCTGCCACCTGCCTTGAAGATGCAAGGACCCAAGTTTGATCTCCAGTTCCCAAAAAAAGGATGAATGTTCCAGTCTCTCCATATCATCACCAGCACTTGATGTAGTCAATCTTTTTTTTTCTTATTTTGGTAGCAGGGATTGAACTCAGGTCCTTGCTTCTTTCAAGCTAAATCCTCCACCCTGATATAGTCAATCTTTTTAATGTTCACTATTCCAGTAGATTTGTAGTATCTCGATTTTTAAAACTTTTTATTTGCCTAAATACTAATGTTACTAAACATCTTTTATTTGCCAATTATATATTTTTATTAAGTATTTGCTTAAATATTTATTCCTCTTTTTACAGTGGATTATTATTTTATTGCCAAGTTGTGAGAGTTCTTTATATATTTTGAGCCTATTTCTGGACTATTTTCTAAACCAGCTTATCCATATATCTACTCAATCCAATACCACACGGTTTCAAGTCCTGTAGCATTACAGAAATCTTGAAATCAGATAGTGTAAGCCTTCCAATTTCATTCTTCTTTTCCAAAACTGTTAGGACTTTCTAGATCCTTTACACTTACATATAAACTTTAGAATTAATTTACTAATCTCTAAAAAATATTTTGGAAATTTGATTGGCATTGCATTGAAATCCATAGATCAGTTTGAAAAGAATTGCCTAACAATATTGAGTCATCTGATTCATGGCTTTATTGTTTATCACCATTGTTTAGTTTTTAAACTTCCCTTAATGTTTTCTAGCTTTTGATGTGCTGCACATATTCAGTTAAATTTATCCTTAAGTATTTCCTGTTTTTGTTGCTGTTGTAAATATAGTATTTATTTACTTTTAAAAATATTTATTAGTACATATTTGCAGTACATAATGATTACATTCACCATAGCGGGGGGGGGTGATATATGTATATAACACATCTCAATTCTTACTTTCTATTCCCAATTCCTCTTTCACTTTTATAAATAATATTTTAAATTTGAATTTAGTTGTTTGTTGCTAGCCTACAAAAGTGCAGTTAATTTGTATATATTGGCCTTAGATCCTGTGATACTGACATCTCTTTTCCTGACTTTTCTATATATTCTTTCAGATTTTCTATGCAGGAGATCATGTTGTCAATGAGCAAAGATAGTTTTACTTTTTCCTTTTCTATCTTGATACCTTTGTTTCTTTTTATTGCCTGTCGTACTGCCTAGGAACTCCAGTATAATACTGAATAAAAGGGTGTACTGCTTTACAAATATTGATTCAATAAATGGTTGATAGTGCTACTAAAATCTTCTATCACTATGTGGCCCAGGCTGGCCTTGAACATGCAATCTTCCTGCCTCAGCCTCCCCACTTATAGGATCATAAGTGTGTGCCACCTAGTTGAGATCAAGTATTTTACTTGTAGTATTTTTGTAGTATTTAATCTACTTGCCAACATAATCTCATAATTTTTTACTATTCATGTAGAATAACTCATTTTGGTTTTTTTCCTCATTGAGTTTATTGGTACATTTTAGGTATACAGTACAGTTACATTCATCATTGGGATCTTGTACTTTTACATGACAGGTCTTGGTTCTCATATTTTCCCCTTACCCCTGACCTCCCTTTGCCCCCTCCTCCTGTCCCTATTTACAAATACTTTATTTCCATTTCTCATTTTGTTCTTTTGTTTCTCATATTCTGCCTTATTTTAGACAGTTTTACATTTTTAGCAATTATTTTTAAAAATTTTTTTGCACTTTACTAGAGATTGAACCCAGAGTCTTTGCCCTGACCTATATCCCTAGCTCTTTGTATTTTTATATTTTGAAACAGAGTCTCATTGAGTGGTTCAGGCTGGACTTGAAGTTGTAATCCTCCTATCTCAGTCTTTCAGAGTGGTGGGATTATATAGGTACATGCCACCACTCCTAGTTTTAAAATAAAAATTTTTTAAATGTTTTAAATATTTTATCTTAGTTCTTCTCTTAGCTTTCTTACTGTCCATTTTATATTATTTTTAGAAAGTCTTCAGGATTTTCATATTCATTATTAACTTATTCCAGTATAATTA